TTCGTGTTCAGTCACCCCATCCTAGCTGTCCACTGGCGCAAGGACAGGCAAGACCGGCCGCCCCTCAGAACTCAGAGCAGTGTGCTGAGTGCATGCACACAGACGAGGACGATACAGGGTCCGCTGTGGCCAGAGCTACAGTAGCGAGGAGGGAGTCTCACCCAGTTGGAAGGGGGAACCTGGGTGAGAGACGGGCAGGCATGCCACAGCCCGCCCGCGACCTCACCCCCCAGAGTGGCCTGCGGACTCTGCTGGGGAGGGAGGAAAGGGAGGCAGGCAACTGAGATGCAGGAAGAAAGGTGGGGGGATGAGAAGGATGAACCCCAGGCAGCTCACGTCTGTGGCTTGAGAGACCCCAACAGGTGGTGATCCCTTGTTACTGGGCTGCAGATAAGTGGCCGGGAGACGCCTCTGCTATGGCCACATGCAAGTGTTCCCAGGCCGGGACACTCTGGTTCGTGCTCAGGTGGGTCTGAGGCGGGCACCTGAGTCACCACGGATGCTGGCTGGAGTGGTGAGCCTTCGGGTTAGAAGGCTGAGGCAACCCAGGGATACGAAGAGTCAGGGCTCGGGCCGGGGGGTGGGGGGGGTGCTGCTGAGGGTGCTGCTGTAGGAAGAGCAGCTCTGGGAGCGGCACCTGCAGGCCACGGAGCAGCTCTGGCAGCAGCAGGAGCGCAGGCAGGCCCTCGAAGGACAGGCAAGGTGTTGAGAGCTGTCCCCTGGCTCAGCAGTAGGCAGTCCTGGCAAGAATGGGTTCAGAGGACTAGCTGAGGAGTAAGACGTGAAAACAGAAAGTGTCTTTTTAAAATGGAATTGGAAAGGGAGACAGAAGCTGAGGGAGAGGGGCTGATTTCGAGCAGAATGGACGAGCAGAGACTCCAGGAGAAAGACAGACAGGAAGGGGGGCGGCGCGGCGGGCAGGCGGGGCGCCTGGCAATGGCTGCCTAAGGCTTAACTCAGAGCCGAAGGGGAGGAGACGCTGTCGCGAGGAGAGACAGCGAGGCCTGGAAGGCGTTCACGTTGGGAACGGAGAGATCAGGGACCGTGACTCAAGGGCTGTGACCAGCACAGCAGCGAGTGGGTACAGCGACCAGGGCGTTCGTGACGAGTCACACGGAGCAGGATTTGTCCCCAAAGACAGCATCAGTCCCAGCGCAGCCCTGCCCGCAGGCCCTGCCGTGGCCTGAATCTTCCCGTGACACACACGCAGCACCGAGATTCCCATCACACCGGGCCGCACGCCTTGGCAGGGCGGAGACGACGTGGGAGTATAAACATCTCACCCGAGAGCTCACGCCAACCGTAGGAGGCAAGTCCCTACCTGGAAAAGCAGGTCTGACTAATGTCGGGGAGCTCGACCCACAGAGGAGAAGGGCACCCACGTGACGTCGGTCTGACATGTACCCACGTGACACCCCCTCCGCTGAGAGAAACCACAGAACAAAGCTGATTCAGGATCCCCGTTTCTAGCCCCTTGAACACAAGGTTAGAGAAAGGCCACCACATGAACATGCGAGTACGTTTCCCAAGGCTTCCCCCTAAAACAGCGGTTCTCAACCTGTGGGTCGCGACCCCTTTGGCGGTCGAACGACCCTTTCACAGGGGTCGCCTAAGACCATCCTGCATATCAGATATTTACATGACGATTCATAACAGTAGCAACATTACAGTTATGAAGTAGCAACGAAAATAATTTTATGGTTGGGTCACAACATGAGGAACCGTATTTAAAGGGACAGAAGGTTGAGAACCGCTGCCCTAAAACATCCAGTAGGGTTCCCTTCAGCACACCCATCACAAACTTGACAGCCTGCTGTGTTGCAGCTTCTTTTTCAACACAAGCGGTGTTATTTACGAGTAGAACACGCCCAGTCACGCCTCCTTCACGGGGAGGCCGTAGGAAGTCCTCAGGATCTGGGTCGTGTCACAGCATTCCCAAACGAGCAGGCGGCACCCCCGTGCCACACAAACAGAGGCCCCGAGCCCAGCACTCAGCCGGGGCTCACGGTAAACCCTCCGGCTCGCACACAGCCAGGGGACTCTGCCTGTAGACGTAATTTTACCAAGTTTGTTATCTGGTTTTTGTTTTAATAAACAGGAGATTTAAAGAGTAAGTCAGAAGGGATCAGTATTCCATGGCTAGAGGAAGGCACACAGTCGATCTAAAAATCAGAATTAAAAAAAAAAACCCATAAGGAGCCACAGAGAAAAGAGCTAATAATATTGTCATTAATTTTGTTTGGTGAGAGAGGCGTGCGGTAACACCGTGAGGTATGAAAATGCTGAATCAGCATGCTGTGCACCTGAAACTGGAACTAATGTTATATGTCAACTATAATTAAAAATTTAAAAGAAGTTAGGGATATTTTGAACTCAATAATAATAAAAATTTGGCAAAAAAAAAACCCACTAAGGAACAAAAGAGATTCAAAAAGTCTTAGCAAAGAACTATATGATTTCACTCTTATGTGGAATATGAAACGGAAAGCTATGGACACAATCAGCAGTGTGGGGGTTGCCAGCGGGAGGGGGTGGGGGAGAAAGGGGTCCTAATATGAGGGAACAGGAGACCTGACTCTGGGTGGTGGGCACATGGTCCCATATACAGATGCTGTAAATTAGTAATCCACATGAGACCTGTATGTTCATGTTGACTAATGTCACCCAATAAAATTTAAAATAATTAAATATATATATTGGATCTTCAAAAAAAAAACTATGAGCAGGACTGGGCCATTTAGTCAAAAAACAGAGTCCTATGAGACTGCCCCCTACAGGCACTTCTGTGCTAAGTTTAACAATTCAGCTTAAGAAACAAATGTGAGGCCCTGGCTGGGTGGCTCGGGTGGTTAGAGCCTCGTCCTGATATGCCAAGGTCGACGGTTCAACCCAGGTCAAGGCACATACAAGAATCAACCGATGAACGCATAAACGAGTGCAACAACAAGCTCATGTCTCTCTCTCTCTCTCCTTCTCTCTCTAAAATCAATAATTAAAAAAAAATAAATGTCAAACATTTAGAATAACTGTCATCAAAAAATATTAGAATGAATGAAAGCATGAGTGGGGGGGGCGTTGGGGGCTAATGGGGGGATGAGGACACATTGGTAATACCTTAACCAATAAAGAAATTAAAGATTAAAAAAATAAATAAATAAAAATTAAAAAATATATTAGAATGAAAACAGTATGCATTTCACCCACTGAGTTCAGTTCACACGGGTAAATAAAAGTATCAGATAGTTTTCACATAAAGGCCTTGGTCTCTAGAATATTTCCCTAACCCTCTTACTGGAACATTTCACTAGAATAGGACTTGAAAACACGCTTGTTAACCCTTTGCACTCCGCTGTCCCCTCTCAGGGGACCTCGGAATTCTAGCATATCACTCAGATGTCCCCTCTCAGGGGACATTGCAGTTTATTAGTGATTACGGGGAACTGAGTTATTTCAACGCAACTTTTTGAGACATGCATGTTTCCCTGAAGTTTTATCTTGAAATGGCACAAGAAATTAAATCAAAATATCGTAAAATTACTAAGATATATACAAGAAATGTCAGCGGGTTTTGTGTCGGATTAAACAATAAACTACATATTCCCGATGTGGGACAAAGAAAACGGGACTGCATTGTGTGTTCTAACAGGAAAACACCTGGTGGCAGGCGTCAAACCACTTATTACTGTCAAACATGCACTAATCAGCCTGCAATGCATATTGGGGAGTGTTACAAAACTTATCATACTGTACAAAATTATAAACAATAAAATATTGTTTTTTTTGCAAATATACATTCCTCGATGTCACCCAATTCATGTAAGTCCAATATCATTATAATACGTTACTTGGTTCCAAAATTATACTAAATAACACGAGGGTCTGTAAATGCACGTTTCCGCCGCAAAGTAGCGTCGAGTAGCTGGTAGCCAATGTCCAGAATGGTTCGGAGTGCAAAGGGTTAATAAACATGGCTATATCCATGACCTGGATGGTATGAACGGGAACTGTTTCGGAATCATCCTGCCCAATTAAGAATGAATGAGTTCTGGGAGCACGTGAGACCTTGTTCTGTGGCATATGCCATCCATTTGGCTCAAATGAACTATTATAAAAATGCAAAAAGTAGCTAAGATCTGGTGAAGAATGCAGCTTTCGTGTCCTCTGTTGGCACCGTGACTCCTGCCTGTGCACATTCTGGAAGCACTGACCCACTGGACGGCCAGTAGGCGACGCCCCCACGACTGCTGGGAAACGCGACTCCGCGGGACCTACCCCTTCCTGCTTCACGAGGAGCGTGAGGCAGTCGCTCAGCGCCGCGCAGGTCTCCCTCGAAGCCTCGGAGACAACATCGACTTTCTGAAGAAAGGACGGAAGCATCTCTAGAAAGAAACACACCCCCCGTGAGAGGGACAGTAAGTCCTCAGCGTCACTCTGACCAAACATCCTCACAGCCACCAACTTCGTGTTTCTTGCCGCCACCTACACGGAGCGACAGTCCCGTCCTGGGCACAGTGAGCACCTGCGTTTGCAGGGCACGGAAGCGCCCAGAAAGCGAGCGAGGCAGCCCTGGCCGGGGAAGGCTGGCGTCCCGCAAGGGGAGAGCCAGGCGGGACACGCGCTGGCAGGTAAGTAACAACCGTGTTCGAGAGACGCGCCGCCAAGAGGGCTGACGGCACAGGTGCACACGCCACAGCTCCTTTCGTGACGTTCCTGCACATCACTCAACGCACTGCTGGACACAGAGATCACCCCGTCGCTGGCAGGCTGGCTAAGGCACCTGACGGCGGCATTCACCCGACTTCCTCTAGTTCTTATCGGACAAATGTTTTGCATAAACAGGTCTTTTCACTCTCAAAGCTGTGCCCCTGTAGTTTCAGGGCCTTTTAGCAGGTTTGTCCCTACAGAGTTTCAGTATTTCTTAGAACGTGTTTGTGTTGGGAAGAAAGAACTGGCAATGCAGTGGCCCCCATATCCCCAGGTTCCACGCCTGAGAGCCACCAAGCGCAGATGGAGACGACTCAGAGCGGAACTGGCATGTTGTTGCCGGCATGTACTGGGTGTTAAGCCCACGTGTACAGACGTCTTTCTTCTCACTATTCCCCAGACGATGCAGTGTAGCAACCATTCACATGGCATTTACTTGCATTAGGTATTTTAAGTAACTGGAGAGGATTTAAGGAGTGCAGGGTCAGGGCAGGTTACGTGCAAATGCTATGCCTTTTATGCAACGGACTTGAGCATCTGCAGGTGTTGGTACCCAAGGAGGTCCTGGACCCAGTCCCCCTCAGACACAGAAGGTTCCCTGAAGAAACTGGACCATTTGCCCATTATCTTAACCCATTTACCATCACAGAAAACAAACGAGACAGAATGCCCGCCCATCACGTATAAGACAAGTACATGCCATTTCCCCTCTGGATTAATGCAGGGACACAGCTCAGTTAAAGCCGGTTGGAATTTATGCTAACTGTGCATTAGGGTCCTTCCAATGTGTCTCTTCCATCAAATAAAAATCATAACATTGAGGAAGCTTTTCATCAAAAAAAAAAAAGGAGGAAGACAATGATACCAGCGGCATCCTTTCTATTTCAAGTAGCCTCACTTAGAACACTGTTCTGAAAACAAAGCAAGGCCAGTGAGCAGAAGCAACCTAGTGAGCCCAATCGCCAGCAATTTCAATCGATTAGGACATGAAACAGTGGGTTCCCCAATCAAGAGACAAGAAGTTTCAAATAAGAAATAAAAATAAGTAAAACCTATAAGAACACATGACAGATTATGTGACCATATTTTCTACGTCATAAAATTGTGAATAGTAATCGTCTAGATTTTTTATTTTCTAAAATTTCTATAAAAATATGATTTGAGCAAAGAAAAGTCCTTTTCTTGGAAAAATTATGTCTCAAAACTCCGGAGGCGGAAGTGGGCAGCAGGAAGAGGTCAGCGGGAGTGAGTTAGACACAAGCGCTCACTAATATCTGGATACGAAGGCCACACGACATTGCACTATTTTCCATCGTAGGAACGTCCTCGTGCTGGCGAACTTCACAGCGCCCCATTGAAACGACTGCGTTCTGAGAGAAACCTGACTTTCCGGGCTTTATTTTTCACTGGGAACCTTTGGTGCACACGTGAGACTCCTCCTGTGCGGGGCTCTAAACAGCAGGTGAGAGTCCCATGTGCTGGGCTCCATCCGACCTGAACAGTCCCTGCACAGCCGGGTCAGCGCTGCGGCTGAGGGGGGGGAGATGCACAGGAAGACAGCCAGCTCTGCCCCTGCTGGGGTAACCCAGTAACGTTCCACTTCCACGGTCACGCGCCAGGAAGCGCGGGCATGGCCCCTGTGGCTGTGATTCCTGCGTTAAGTACCGTCATGCGCTAAATCATCTCCAATTGTGCCTGTGTGTGAGACATTCCACACTTTAGACACGCACGGCACCGGTTAGCATAAAACAAACATTAACTGTCAAAATAAATGTTTAAGAACACATGCAAGCTTGTTTCAAAAGACATCCCAAGAAATATATATTAAGTTTCTATAAGAATCTATTGAAAGAGTATCCAATTCTTCTGTCCAAAACAGACTCGAAAGTTACCTACTTTCTCTGACAATCTGGTGTTTAAAGAGATTCGGAAGTTACTATCCACTTGCCCAGTGGTTTGGTGTAGGAACTGGTGGATGTGCGGTGCCCGCGGGGGAGGGGGGGGGGACGACACAGCACGTTTCTTATATAAGGACGTCTGCATGTGGTTATACAGAGACTACAACTGCTAAGCTTCTAGACAAGTTACCCACTGGGGATCCCTGCAAATTGTTTCAGTCAATTAATGTTTAGAGATGGAACTATAATGAATAAATGATACGTGAACGAACGGCTAGCTACCATATTTGGCCGACTCTAAAAAAGTGGACACCTACTCCTGAGGAAAATGTTATTTTTTAGACGGAAGTTACTTTTGAACTCAGGAAAGATGCTAGAAGGTCCTGTGTGAAAAACTTCTCTTCGGAGACTTATAAAAGCTCACACCTGTCGCTCCCAGGACACACACTGTGATTCCTATCCGGGTAAACTATCAAGGAAACACCTGCTTCTTGTTATGTGGACAAACTAGACCAGTGATGGCGAACCTATGACACACGTGTCAGAGGTGACACGCGAGCTCATTTTTTTGGTTGATTTTTTTTTGTTAAATGGCACTTAAATATATAAAATAAATATCAAAAATATAAGTCTTTGTTTTACTATGGCTGCAAAGATCAAAAAATTTCTATATGTGACACGGCACCAGAGTTAAGTTAGGGTTTTTCAAAATGCTGACACGCCGAGCTCAAAAGGTTCACCATCACTGAACCAGACCCTGGCACAGGCCGCTCCCCTGGTGCTGACGCAGGAAAGGCCGCTTGGCCCGACGTAACCTCGCTTGTCAACTCGACGGCTCCCGCAGGCGCTCTTCCTGTAAAGGTTTCTTTTCCTAGAAACAGGCCTCCAGACCTTTGTTCCAGATGCTTCCTCTTCCCTGAGCCTGGAAATAGTAATTCTTCGTGTTCAGAAGCTTCCGTGGAACCATCTCCCCAGCCACACCCTGGAATATTCCAGGGAGCCATCAGGGGAACATAAGGCCGGGCAGCGTGGCTGTAACTCACAGGGAAATGCTGTGGCCTACTTAGCTCCTGGCAGGGGGTGCGGAGGAGGGAACACACAGAGAGACGTCAGAGGGAATGGGCGGAGGGGAGAGACCACGGGACTCCAGGTCTGGGCGAGGTCAGGGTCTCGCTGGCCGAGGGAGGAGCCGGCAGTCAGAGGGACAGGGACCTCAGGCTGGTGGCCCTCAGAACGGCTCTGCCTCCATGCTAAGCGAAGGCCTGTGTGCGAGTGGATGTTCTGTGCAGATGACATCGCCCACGTGTTCTAGAAGGATCCCGGCAGGGCCTGGAGGCGGCGGTGGACCTGGGCCAGCCTGCAGTGGCCCCTGCGCCAGACGGTGTGGCAGGGCGAACGTGGTGACGGGGCGACCTGAAGCCTCGGATCCTGATGAAGACCTTACGTGACTGAAGTGCCTCTCCCGTGAGGTCTCCTGTTCGCTAACCAGGGATGCGCTTACATGCAGTCAGCAGCGTGCAATGACGTGTGCGCATGAGGAGGCACGTGGAGTATAGTTCAGCAACATGCAGCCACAGGCTCAGCAACATTAACACGCGTCCACCCAGGAATCCAACCCCAGGAATCCTTCGGCAATGAAGCCGTGGTCACATGTACATGCCCCACACGCAGTACTTGTCATTCCTTAGAGCGGGGCGGGGGGGGGGTGGGACAGGCTGCCTGCCGCCTTCAGGAGTCCCCAGGTTGTGCTGCTGGGTGGTGCTGTGTCCGCAGCCAGGCTGTGGGCGGAGATGGAGGAGGCGATGGCAGTGCTGCCCCTGGGAACCTCCAGCGGCCGTGCCAACCAGAGAGACGGACTCCGCTCCAGCCCGGAAGGCAGGGCGAGGGTCCACGCACGGGGATGAGAGGAGCATTTCAACAGGGGACACCGGACCAGAGACAGGCATTTGGTCAAAAGCGTCTTCAGGGCCCAGGCGAGAGCGTGACACACGAAGCTGCAAGGCCAGGCTGTGGGGCTCCAGAAGCCTTTAATGCCGGAGGGAGCGCCTGCGTTTTATTCTCTTGCTTCCAGCGCCCATAGGAGATATTTTCAACAGAAAAGCAGGATCCAAAAAGCATCTTTCTAAAATTAACCTGGCAAGCGACACGCAGCGTTTCACAGAAGCGGAGCTGGAAGCGTTCCTGAAAGCCATCTGAGCGCTCCCTCCTGGCGGGAGGGGGAGGGGGAGCGTGGGGGGCGGCAGGCAGCGGGCAGGCTGAGGTGGAGAGCTGACTATAATGGTAGCCGGTAGCCGTCTGAGCAAGGAAGCAGGGCACCGAGTCTTAACGTTCAAACCGTTTTGTACTAAAATGTTAGGCCATCTCGACCCTGAAACCTGGGCTCTGTCCAGACCTTTTAGCTTTGCGCCTCGAGGCCGCCTGGAGCAGGAGGGCGGGGCTTCCGACAACACCGTCCTCACCCCGCACTCACTGCACCATCCTGCAGGCGTCATGTCTGTGCCTGTCGGGGGTAAGCCGACGGCAGGGCCGTGAGCCAGGCCGTGAGGTCACAGGCACACGTCTCCCAGTTCCCGGAGGCACCACAGGACGCACTGTCTCGGGGGTCTGAGCGGTGTCACACCTGCAGGGCCACACAAGGCAGCCATTGCAGTGAGAGGCTCGCACGGCAGGGGGGGGGGGGGGGGGATCCGAGCCAAGAAAGCTGACTCCAGGTTCACCAAAGACTTGATTTGATTGTAGTTCTGATGGAAGTTTTTTTCTTTGGTGCAAGTTAAGGGAATTAATCTTTGTATTTCATTTCACTGTGGTTCTGCATCTATATATATCTATATATATATCTATATTTTTTTATTGATTTCAGAGAGGAAGGGAAAGGGAGAGATAGAAACATCAATGAAGGGAGAGAATCATGGATCGGCTGCCTCCTACACGCCCCCCACTGAGGATCGAGCCTGCAACCTGGGCATGTGCCCTTGACCTGAATGGAACCTGGGACCCTTCAGGCCTTAGGCTGACACTCTATCCACTGAGCAACACCAGCCAGGGCTACATCTTTAAAATGTTGCCATATCATCTTCTTGGCAAAGATGGTGTTTTAAGAGCCCACTGCTGGTCAACGGTCTTAGCATAACTCTATGCATACCCTCCAGACCGCTGCAGAGGTGAATTCTAGCGAATAAAGCTGTGATTGTTTCTTAAAACCCACTGCGGGTGAACCGCGCTCACACACTATTCCAGCACAACTCATCATCACAGCGACCTACGGTTAGGTCCTAACCGCTGTCTTCCACAGCCGTCTTCCCACAGCGGTCACTGCTGACACACACCACGCCTGTGGAGCTGGGGGTGTGCGAGGCGCATCTGGAGACACAGAGCATCTGTACCAGTTCCTCTAACGGGGACATTTCCTCGCAGTCTCTGGCACATAGACACGGAGCCTGGGCGTTCACTGAGGGAAACCAGCTCACACTTAACACGGGTCGTTAGTAATCACCTCGGACAACGGAAGCAATCACACGCTAGTACAGACCGCACAGTCAGTCTAAGAAACAGCTCCTTAAGGTACGAAGTCAGTGGTACTTTTCAACACTTCATATGGGTATTGGATCTGACACTGCAGGTTATATCGGATTGTGTTTTGATTTCTGAAGGATCTAGTCAACTCCTAATGATTCGTAACTGTGGAGAGGGGAGACACGGGAAGGTGAGGCGGGCTGCCATCCGCAGACAGGCTCATGCAGATTCGCAGAATCAGACGCCCAGCCCTGGAGACCGCCGGCCTCACTCACAGGGAGGAAACGGCTCCTCGAGCAGCAGCCCGCGGGGGCAGAGCAAGGGCCAAGCCAGGACCCTCACCGCGGCTCCACACGCCAGTTCTCTCGAGTCACCAGCGGGATTCCAACCACACAGCCAAAGTGCATTTCCAGCCCCAAAATGGTAACTTTGCCTCTGTTTTTCTTTTTCTTAAAAGAATAAAAATATTTAACCTAAAGGGCCAGCATCTGGGAGAATGGCTGTGTCGGAGGGCGGGGCTGGCTGCAGTGCTGTCTCTGGTTTTGGTGGTTTTTTACCTTCAGCCACTTCGCACTCCTTCACCATCTGGAGAAAACCAGCGAGTTCCCTATCCAGTCGCTGCCGGCAGGCCTGCGCTTTCTGGAAGAGAAACACAGACAGAAAGAAACTAAGTGAAGATGAACCATTAAGAGAATTTTATATTACAGATGCTTTAATGTCCCATCAAAACCCTTAGTTCACAGGTTGATACACTGTAATACATTCTCCTAACAGAGCAAATGGTGAGGAAGACTGTTCCGACCTGAATGTAAGCCAATCACTACAGAGTCACAAAAGCAAGTATTTCTAAATTCTAAGTACCTTCAGCATCTGCTGTGTAGGCACCGGACGACGGCGCTCGCTGCTCCCCACACCCACCCCCCATGCATGTCCGAGGCGGCCGGTCCCTGACTCAGCACCGGTTAATGGGCTTGATTAGGTTCATCGGGAAGTTACCAAATGCATCCCTTACTGCGTCTTTAAACTATTAAAAAGTCCAGATGGTGCTCGCACTTGGAATCAGATGCCGAGCCCACTCAGCGCTCTAACTGCGGCCGCCCCCACAGAATCGGACACGCTAAGGACACGCTCTCGGCGAGAAGCAGCTGATGACAACGAGGTGACGTCAGGGACAGACAGAACCCTTCCTGTCACACGGAAGTCTCCATTCCCAGGTCCTGACAGCAACGCAGACAGAGGTCCGTGTGCGCTGCGCCCACCTCTGTGTGCACCCGGAGTCCAACATGAACCATCAGAGAAGTCCATCCACTACATGAACAGTGCGACTTTAGAGTTAACTTTACTTATGGTTTCCCTTTAAAGAGGGAAGACGAAGCCAGGAAACTGTCGCTGTACAGCGGATGGTGATGGGAGTAAAAACATCTGTTCTGAGAACCTCGGCCTTGGGAGAACCCCCCTGTGGGGAGAGAACTTGTTGAGCTTCGTGACTCTTCCCGCCTTCGCACTGCTCGTCTCCACGGCCAACCACTGGCACCGTGACCCCCAACCGGATCTCTGAGCCCAGGGACACACGCCCTGCTCTCCTATGGAGTTTCAGTGCTGCCTGCTCAGCGCAGCCACGGAGGAACCGGTCCTGGGAGCACGTGAGTGGCGGGCGCTGTCCTCCTGAAAGCCTGTGTGACTCTGTTCTGAGTTCTCACATGAAGATGCAGTTCACCTGTTCTGAGAGCGGGTCCCCCACGGCGCCTTTAAAACCCCTCAGAAGTGCAGGGGTTTGCTGGTCGACCTCTCAGAGGGTGGGGGGGGGGTGGACAAGTGGATCTGGGGGCTGAGACCTGCGCTGGGACCACATGGGGCTCACGCCTTATTCGCTCCCCCCGCCCCCAGGCCTACGGAGCTCAACATCCGCTTTCCTGCCGTGGGGAGCGAGGTGCACAAAGGCGAGAACTGGCCTCACTTGCAGACGGCGAGCCCCTCGCAAACACGCTGGTCCCCAGGTGACGACCAAGGACAGAGCCACCCCCCAGCATCGTCCTCGACACCTGCCTCTCCCGCCTCCCCTCGCACGTCCACCTGCCCTCACTGACGACAGTTCCTGACGACTGACTCGTTCTCCAGGGTCGTCACAGACCAGCTGGCGGAGGTCGCTCCACGCACTCTGCTCTAGGGGGGACAGAGGGGCCCTGCCATCAACCATCGGCGCCATCTGACCGACACTGAGAAGAACGGGAAGAGGCAGTGAGACAGAGCACGCTCTCCGACTCGCTGCCATTCTGCTCAGCAGCCGCCGGTTCTTTTCTGAAACCTGAGTCACTTATGAAGGTTATGCCGGCGATTCTCCGTGAGCCCAGCGTGGAGCCTCTTCCCCATGTCTATGCCGTTCCCGGGTGCGACTAAGGGACTGTTTTAGGTTTTACTCTTTATTGGTTCCACAGCCAGGGGGCCCCACTGGGAGCCATGTTCTAACACCGGGTGTGGCAGTATTTTAAAGCCACGTTCTCCAGGCACAGAGCACAGTACCAGCATCGCACCACGGACCGGGGCCTGTGGACATGGGCCCACGGACAGGGGCCCACGGACAGGCCCATGGACAGGGGCCCACAGACACAGGCCCACGGACACGGGCCCACGGGGCCAGGTGAGCAGTGAGCCCCTCCCACAGCCCGGGCCTCCTGCGCCCCCTCCACCCACCCAGGTGCCAGCTGTTGGCTTTGTTTGACTTCGTTGACATTGACAACTTCCTGGTCCCTGCCCCACAGGCCAGCTTTAACGTGTGTCCCAAGGAGGGGCCTCGGGGAGGGAGGACAGAGTGGGAGGGAGGAGCCATGACTTCCGGGCTCGGCTAGGACGCCCCGCCTGTGGGGAGCAGCCCGGAGCAGCTCGCCCGCCACGCGCAGTCCAGGCAGCAGACGACTGACCGGGCGCGAGAGGAGGTCGGCACCGAAGGGCAGACAGAGACTCCGCTGACTTACACCCTGGGACACGCAGCACCGCCTGCCTCTTACCACTGGCAGCATCGGGGGCCCGCGGCGCAGGGGCTCGGGCTGAGGGAGAGGAGCCGCTACATCCCACAGGACAGCTGTCAGGCAGGTGGGGACATGTCAAACTCATGCAGCGGAAGACGTCAAATGCATGCAGCTCGCTGCAGAGTCACTACATCACGTTAAACACTGAGCAGCATGGATCGCAGACCCTGAGGACACCCCACTCCTCTCCGAGTCCCCCTACGTCCACCACGGCCGAGAGGACACCGTCCCCTACCGCCCGCCGTCGCAGCGTCCCTACGCCTGCTCTTGCTGCTGCCTGGTGATCGCCGGGGCTGCTCCTTACCCTCCCGTGTTGTTGTGGGACAGACGTTTACACAAGCAAACCCAGGCCAGAGAGAGAGGCCGCTCCTCCTCACACACCATCAGCCCTCGAGACCGTTTCCACCTTCTCCCAGCCTCCAGGCAAACGCTGCTGCCACTTCCCCTCTTCCTGACAAGACCGTTTCCACCCTCTCCCAGCCTCCAGGCAAACGCTGCTGCCACTTCCCCTCTTCCGGACGAGGAAGCCTGCACAGCCCTGAGGGCACAGCCCTGCTCCTCTTCCCGGGGGCAGCGCGTTTCATAGCTCCCCTCCCGCTCCGCCACGTGCGCACCGCCTCAGTCCTGCACGGACACACCCCCTGCACCTCCAGCCTGTGCCGACGATAGTCCTCTCTCTGCACATCCACTTAATTAGGGATCATTTATTCTAAACCAGGGAAGTTTGGTATCACTTTCTCATTCGGTTAAAAGGCAGCATCCTCTGCTCATTACTCCTTATCCCGCAGAACCAAGAGTGTCCAACGAAGAGGCCCCGCTTTGCGAGCGCCGCCCCGAGCCTAAGGCGGGCGGCGGGCCCACAGGACGCCACAGTGATGGCAGCCTTGTCTCCGTGCCCACGGCGCGGCCCAGGTGGCCTGAGCTCCTGGCGGTGCCCGTCAAAAGGAAGGGCTGAATTGACTTGGTTCTGATTATCTGCACGTCTAGTAGGTCCTGTACAGCTCTAAGCCAATACTGTGGGTGAATCTCTCTTCCAATTGTCATTTCTGAACGATCCCCCAGTGGCAGGAAGCCGCCACTGCCAGGACTGGTCGCATCCCCTCTCCCTGAGGCTTGGCCTCAGGCAGGACAGATGGACGGCTGGGAGGACAGCGGTAAGACTGCGGAGGGAGGCCCTCGTGTCGAGGGGAGAAAATCGAGACCAAAAGCAGCAAACACAGACAGGTGTTCCAGCCTGAGCTGATGCCCCACTTTCCGGCCCAGAGAAGGCTGAGGAAGAGGGTCCCTGATGGCCATCGGGGGGTTGGAGAGCGTCCCGTCCCGAGTCCCTGACCTCCTCTGGAAGCCGGCAGGCGCCTAGAGCTGGCCCCACCATGCCCTGGTGCCCTAAGACCCGGAGACCCAGGGCCTGCGGGGCCGGCTCCACACGCTCATTGCAGAGTTCACCTACGTGGGACCGACGTTCAGAAGCCGCAACAGAGTGAGGATTCGCAGACGAGCATTTAAATCCTGTTGGTTGAGATGCGGCTACAGCCCCCAAACCTGGAAGTGCTTGCCACTGGCTAAGGGCTCACTGACTTCAGGCGATAAAATCTAGAAAGCAGCCGTGGGCGTGGCTCGGGAGCTGAGCATCAACCTATGAACCAGGAGGTCACAGTTCAATTCCCGGTCAGGGCACATGCCTTGGTTGCAGGCTCAGTCCCCAGTAGGGAGCGTGCAGGAGGCAGCCGATCAATTATTCTCTCTCGTTATTGATATTTCTATCTCTCCCTCTCCCTTCCTCTCTGAACTCAATAAAAATATATATTTTTTTTAATCTAGAAAACAAATACTTCATGGTTTTAAAGTTAACACAGAAACAATATTCAAATGAGTGAAATGAGAGGTATAGTTGAGGCTGAGAACCCAAAAAATCTGAAAACTGTGCCAAAGAAGAAGCGTTTCTTCAAGAAAGTTGGTAAATTATATGCAAATTAGCACTTTTATTTTACCTATAGCTTCCACTAAAAAGGTCATAAAATTACCATAATCCTGGAAAGATATTGGTGCACGCTGAGTCCTCCCAGGTTTCATCATCGACCGAATTCGGAGGAAAGATGAACTGGAGAGGAGTTCTTTTCACGCAGGGAATACTGACCGATCAAAAGTTAAAATATGTAGCAACGTTTTTTATTTAACATGATTTTGGCCATAGATACTTAAGCCTTCTTTATCTATCCACACAGCTTTAATGTCGGTGCGATGCTCTGGTAGATGTAACTTGTGCAAAGTTCCCTGACCTGACAATTACGTGGTTGGCACATCACACACTGGGAATATCTCAATACAACGCGAAAGCTCCACGTCTTCCTGTCCGTCATAAACGGAGGCCGGACCAAAGACTCAGAGCTCTTTCTCACCTAAATGGACGGCCCTTAAGAGAACGCCTGAGGGGTCAGCAAACAAGCTCATTCAAGCTGGTGATTTAGAAACACTCATTTCCTGCAAGAATTTCACTTCATTTTTAAAAAGGATTACAGCCCTAGCTGGTGTATAAAAACAGATTACATTTAGTGGGCAAATTCACATTCTCTGACACAATTATCTGGACTGAAACGCATGTTCCTCTCTTAGTTATAATTCTTCCAACCAATTCTCACTTAAAAGGTAGAGCCAAGAACAAAATACCCTTCATGTCCATGACGACACGCAGGCTGCGATTTCTGCCCGGATGAGGCATTGCTGTCCCTTCCGACGAGGCTCGCCCTCTGCCTGACGCTCCCACCTGACCCACAGAGCACAGAGCACAGGGGCTCCGTCCCAGGAGGACGCGGGCCAGCAGGGCATCGCTGTGGCTGCATTGTTTAACTCTGCAAGTGCAGTGAAGTCACAAAGGGCAGTGAGGCAGGGCGCCCCCTGCTGGTGGCAGTCCTCCAGTGGAGGAACAACCTGCACAATGCACACGTTACCAAGGACGGACGCGTGTGGTCACACCCTTAGAGCACAGAGCCACAGTGGACAGTGTCACCGTAACGCACAGTATCGTAGACTATTACTGGACAAAGAGCAACACTATGTCCATGGCCAGAACTCACATTAAAAACATTCCTGTTGCTGGTGAACTTGAATGAGAGGTGCCGTAGAGGCAGGTGCGGCTTCGTACTTACCTCCAAGGACGCCTGCAGGTCCCCAGCAGAGCCTGCCTCCTCCTCCTCCTCGTCCGGCACCTGGTCCTGGGAGCAGTAGTGCGTGCTGTAGGCCGCGTGCTCCTCGATCGCCTGCAGCCAGTCCTGAGGGGCCCAAACAGTTCAATTAAAGGGACATGTGCCGGCCGGTGAGGCTCAGTGGTTGAGCATCAATCTATGAACCAGGGGGTCACGGTTGGACTCCCGGTCAGGGCATAAGCCCGGGTTGTGGGCTCGATCCCCAGTGGAGGGTGTGCAGGAGGCAGCCGATCCATGGTTCTCGCTCATCATTGATGTCTGTCTGTCTGTCTCTCTCTCTCTCTCCCCCTCTCCCTTCCTCTCTGAAATCAATAAAAATATTTTTTAAAAATTAAAAAATAAATTAACTAAAGGGAAATGCATTTTTACTCAAAAGAGGTAATATGACAATGATCTGGAAAGCATAAAGTTTATATGGCCTAAAAATACCAACAATGAAATGATACACATCTCTTATCTATAACATGTCTAGATTTTTTTTTAATTCCGAGAAAAAAATAAATGTAAAATAAAAAATTAATTTTTTATAATATATAACAGTAATAATAATAAATAAAATACTGATTTTTTTGAGGTCAGCAGAGCAGACCAATAGCTAACTGTGTGTAATTGGAAAAAATTAGAAACAACTATCAAATGAGAAAATGATTTTTTAAAATATTCATAAAATCTGCTTTTCACAATATTTCTGCAACTTTATTGAGCTATATTTTACATATTACATAATTTACTCATTTCAAATGTAAATTAATTTAAATAAAATGTACTAATTTATAACTTGTACCCCCAAAAGTTCCCAGTATTTTTAAAAAATATCATCTATAAGTTTATATACTCATTGACATTAGTAGTTAAACACATTATAAAAACTAAGTAATGGGCAGAGTTTTGCACTTAAAATACTAGGTTCTCAAAACTGTTGAATAAGTTATTGTACAATAACATATCCAAAAACAATTTTACTAACTTGCAATCAAATTATAAGCATAAGAAACTCAGGTCATTTTCAGAGAACCAACAATTACCTTCATGCTTTAACTTTTACTATGTTTTTTTTAACAAGCAGTGACTTTACAAAAAGACCGAATATTTGCCCTAAAATACCTGTCTTACTTATTCCTCATTATAGTATTATTCAGGGTCAAATCTTCCATTTCATGAAATGTTGGGACTGTCATCATTTGAATTATTCAGGGTTCTCTGTGGGGCCACAATTAACCACATTGGAAGATCGATCCTCTCAACCCCTTACACAATTTACAAGAAACAAGAGAGGCCTGTGAATGCTGCTGTGAATGCAGCATGGCTCAGTGGTTGAACTTTGACCTATGAACCAGGAGGTCATGGCTCGATTCCCAGGACACATGCCCGGGTTGTGGGCTCGATCCCCAGTGTGGGGCGTGCAGGAGGCAGCCGATCGATGATTCTCTCTCATCACTGATGTTTCTCTCTCTCTCTCCCTCCCTCCCTCTCTGAAATCAATAAAAATATATTTTTTAAAAAAAGAACACTGCATCTCCATTTAAGCGACATGTATTCCTGTCACCTGAACCCTAATCTCTTGCTGCTGCTATTGTTCAATTTACCAAAAAGAAGCCTTGAGTCCCCACGGGCATGAACCAGAGCAGCTGGGCTGGGTCCGCTCTGCCCTTGGGCGGTGACCTTGGAGAGCACGGGAGGAGGCAACCACCTCATGGCCTTCAGCTGCCTCACCCACAAAGTCGGGGGCAAACCACAACCATCAGGGCGTTTCCCAACCATGGGAGGCTGGACCTCCACAGAATCAGAACGAGAGGCGTTACGAACAGACACCTGCAGGCCCATGCGGGCGGAGCAGCGACTCGCCAGCCAAACCCCAGCAGCTGCCATCACCCCCCCCCCATTAAAAAGGTGCGACCAGCGAGGCTGGGGGTCGCCATGGGGCTCCCATGCTTGTCTCTAATCGCCCTGTAGGTCTCAGGAGACCCGTGAACCCACAAATCACCTCTCTGGCCTGCGGAGGGCTGTTCTGAGGGACCTTGAAGCCATGAACTGAGTCGTCAAAGCATTTGACGGAGAAGAGGCAGCTGTCACCGGGCTTGACCTTGGAGACAAGAAGGCAGTGAGACATCACCACGTGCGCACGTAACAGAAGCTTCACAGCAACCCGCGACCTATGACCCAGGAGGTCAGGGTTGGGACCCCAGGGACTGCGTCCAGGCTCAGACCCGCCTCCCGGAGGAGAAGCTGGCTGTCTCCTGAGCTCAGAGCCCGAGCTTCCTGCTCTGACACGGGCTTATCAGCACCAGGAAACCTCCCACCCCATTGTCCTCCTTTACCCATGCACAAACACGCATGTGCACATGCATGCACACGTGACCACACACACACACAGCACGGGGCAGAAGTAGGCCTACAGTTGTGAGTACCCCGAACAGCTCGTTCTTAAATCTTACTCACTGGCTTGTTTCCCACTGAACAACTGTAACCCTGCTCTGCCCCGCCCGCTCCATGCACGCGTACTCCTTACACACGTTCCCGGATCACTCATCTCTCGTCCCGCAACATGAGGATCAACCAAAGCCGGTCCGTTTCGAGTGGAGACGCCCCCTCCTTGGCCCAGCACGTCCCACCCCGGCTCTGCCGGGGCAGCTTATACACGAGGCCGGGCCATCGCTTGCAGAGCCGACTCCACGTGTAGCAAAGATGCCTGTCGTCCTACCGTGCACACGGCTTGCGTGAGGTGTTTGCACCCCTGGCGGTAAATCTTACGGGCGGCGTCGGGCCTTCAAAATAAACATTACATTTTCACGGTAAAAGGAGAAGAGATAAGTGAAAAGGTTCAACCTTCCCAAACTGGCATGCGACAATTTAACAAGAGCAACGACCGGACACTCACTGCTTCCGATACCAGGACAGGACGCCGTGCTCCAGCACCACCCAGAACAGCCTCCAGCCGAAAAACCGCGAGCTCTAAGGGAGAGCAAAGGGACCCGCTGACCCCGCGGCGCAAACACTGGCTGCGCGTGGCTGGGTCAGGCGGTCCGTGTCTGTGAGCGAGGCATGCGGCGAGCACCCCAACACGCTCCCGCCTGGGCGCACCCCTAAGGGCAACAGAGGGGAGACACCCACACCCATGGATCCACGCCCACAGCTCTGTTCCCACAGGACTGTTCTGGGACATTTATCAGCGGTGGGCTAACAAGGCCCTTCCTCAACGTCCTGAGTGAACTTCTAGACAGAGAGAACCATCCTGAATGTATGTCACCTGGGAGCACACACGCACGCAAACGTGGAGGCAGTGCCTGCGGCCGAGGACACCACAGCTCCGTCCCCAAACCACGGAGCTCAGACACGCAGGAACGCCTGGCCCCAGAAAGACCGCGTGGGTGCTCTGACAATGCGGAGCTTAACTTCTTCCCAAGTCCCCGTGGTTCATGGTCCATAACAAACAGTGATTCTATGTCTACGATCACGTAAGAAAGACTGCTCCCCCCACCCCCCCAATCCCTGCTCCGACAGATGTGGCCACCGGACAGGGCGAGACCACGGACACAGGGCAGCAGCCGCCCCACGCGTCGCCGAGTGCCGCCAGCAGGACACGGGGCTGCGTGAGAGGCGGGACGACCACCTCAGAAATGACCGGAAACGTTTCACGAACACAGACCCCGAGCCTCCCTCCCAGGTTATGGTGAAAGTGCCCACCCACCTTCCAGAGGGGACCTTCAAACCGCCTCAGCGCTCGGTACAGGGCCTGCGGGAAACGAGTCTCGTCAAATGCACTTCAAACGCTCAGGGACACGCAGGCCCCTCGCGACCCTGCGCCCACCGTGTCCCCGCGACCCTGCGCCCACCGTGTCCCCGTGACCCTGCGCCCACCGTGTCCCCGCGACCCTGCGCCCACCGTGTCCCCGCGACCCTGCGCCCACCGTGTCCCCGTGACCCTGCGCCCACCGTGTCCCCGTGACCCTGCGCCCACCGTGTCCCCGCGACCCTGCGCCCACCGTGTCCCCGCGACCCTGCGCCCACCGTGTTCCCCGAGACCCTGCGCCCACTGTGTCCCCGTGACCCTGCGCCCACCATGTCCCCGTGACCCTGCGCCCACCGTGTCCCCGAGACCCTGCGCCCACCGTGTCCCCGTGACCCTGCGCCCACCGTGTCCCCGAGACCCTGCGCCCACCGTGTCCCCGTGACCCTGCGCCCACCGTGTCCCCGAGAGCCTGCGCCCACCGTGTCCCCGTGACCCTGCGCCTACTGTGTCCCCGTGACCCTGCGCCCACCATGTCCCCGTGACCCTGCGCCCACCGTGTCCCCGCGACCCTGCACCCACCGTGTTCCCGGAGAGGAGGTGCTTCACCTCGGCGCCCTGGGCCAGGTGCAGCGGCTTCTGGTCTGTGTGAAAAGCAAGGACGGCCCTGTGACTGCAGCACGGGCCTGGCTCCGCTTCCCCCCCCTTTCCTCCCGATGCCCCTGAGCGGCCAGCTCCTCAGGGCCTCCTGTCCGCGCCATGTCATCAAAAAATATTAGAATGAATGAAAGCATGAGTGGGGGGGAGTTGGGGGCTAATGGGGGGATGAGGACACATTTGTAATACCTTAACCAATAAAGAAATTAAAGATTAAAAAAATTAAAAAATAAATAAATAAAAATTTAAAAAAAATGTATTAGAATGAAAACAGTATGCATTTCACCCACTGAGTTCAGTTCACACGGGTAAATAAAAGTATCAGATAGTTTTCACATAAAGGCCTTGGTCTCTAGAATATTTTCCTAACCCTCTTATTGGAACATTTCACTAGAAGTAGGACTTGAAAACACGCTTGTTAATAAACATGGCTATATCCATGACCTGGATGGTATGAACGGGAACTGTTTCGGAATCATCCTGCCCAATTAAGGATGAATGAGGTCAGATCCACTCCCTCCCCTCCCCCAGCTTCCACAGGCCGCTGACAGGCACCGTGACGTGATGCGTGGCCTCCCTCCTGCGGGGGCGTTGCCCCAGCCTGTGCCCCATCTGTACTCTCTCCTGACACTGGTCGTCCTGCCACCTCCCTAGAAGAGCCATGTGAGCCCACGGGGCACCTGGGTAACAGCATCCTTTCCCCGTGCAGGTCCCCTAACCTCCCATCTCTGGGGGCCAGGACCCCATCCGTCCCCACAGCCACCAGCTGCCCCAGAACTCAGGGCGATGGCCCCAGCTGAGGGGCCAAGGAGAGGGCAGTGGAGAGAGGAGCCAGCGAGATACTGTGGGAACACCGCCCTCCGCGTGCAGGTGCTGGGCTTTGGCAAACGACAAGAACAGAATCTGCGTGTCACAGTGACTACTGCGCAGGACCCGTGCAGGATGCTGCGAGGAAGCCACCTGGGACCTGGGGGAGCTCTAACCGCTGGAGAAACAAAAGCTGCATGTTAACAATTTACACACACAGCCTTCCCCGAACAGCGCATCCGACGGAGACGCTGTATCAGGAGGAGACGCTGTATCAGGAGGAGACGCCGTGCAGGAAGGCGACACAGCCCACAGGTAACTGCTTCACCTGCAGGATGGGGTCTTACTAAGCACGCCGCCCCTGGCTCTCGGGAAGCCGGCTGGGGGCAGGGACGTGTCTGCAGGGGCTGCGCCAGGCGTTCTGGCATCTCCACGGTGCTCTCTCTCTCTTCCTCTCTCTCTCTAACGCAGCCGGAGGCCCTGCCAGCGGCGTTTCCCCTCCTCCGTTGCTTTATGAGGCAGGTAACACCCCAACCACAGACAGGCTGCGACCACGCAGGCTCCAGGTACAAACACCGTTAGCTAATACCACCCCTGGCAGGCGTTGGGCAATGTTTCTGTATCAATGTCTCCTAATGAGAGTCCCTGATGCACCAACTAACACTGGAGGCCGGGGACTTAGCAGAGAACATGACGATGTGGGTGGGAATCATGGAAAAGGAAGAAGACAGTAAATAGACAGACAGGAAATAGAGCAGAGGATAAAGCATGCTATGCCCATGTGTTACGTGGGTGAGTGACGGATACCAGCTCAGCCTGGAGACTGGGGGTGTTTACATGGAAAGGAAGCGGTCAGAGTGGTGGAGGGGCAGCTGCGGCAGAGGCCTGGGCAGGAGCTGCGGGGCAGGAGCTGCGGGGGCCGTCCGGGGGCTGTGCAGGCAGGCAGACCTCTGTGAGCCGCTGCCAGGAGCCTGAGTTTTGTTCTAAAAGGATGCAAAACCCCTGAAGGGTTTCCCGTCGAAGAGTAACATGATCTGACTTACTTAAAACTCTGTCAAATTGTTAAAAACAAACACCTTTGTAAGGATAAAAGGGAAACCGAGCTCCGGCCGGTACGAATACGGTGGTGCTGCCCCGGCTGCTGTGTAAGCTCTGTCAGGATGTAACTCACACCCATTCCCTCCCCCACGGAAGGTGTATCGCTCCCAGAGCCGTGGGGCTGTCCCTCGGTCGTGGATCTAAGAAGGAGCACTTCTCTTTCCTAAATATAAAACGCGTCTGAAGAAACCTGTCGGGGAGGGATCACTATTGGCAGTTCCTGGGAGAGGATGCTGTGTCAGTTAATGACGCCCGTCTATCGTTAAGCCGTGATCATTCCTGTAATAAACTTTCTAACCACATGGTGGCTGCTGTGTGGATCGTGGCTGGAACGTGGGCAAGAGGAAACCGAGAGTGACAGCCACACAGCCTGAGGCACCCAGGGGACGCGCAGGCACTGGAGAAGCGGACAGTGTGACGGCGAGAGCAGCCCAGGGCTCCAGGCGTATGTCAGAGGTCGAGTCACAGGACTGCCCACGGTACAGCTGGGCTGACCGTGTGTTCTGAGGGGAAACGCCGCTCACACTGTTAATGGGAAGTTAACCATCACGCTGGGTTTCCAGCTCACTCGGAGGAGACGTCACGGGAGAAGGCCCGCCGCTCCGCGCTTTCGTCTGAGACGTGGCTCCTCCGGGCAGAGGGCAGTGGGGTTTCGCTCACAGAATCCTGCCCTCACACCACCTCTGGCCAGGGAGCCGCATGCCCAGGGCAGAGCCCTCGATGCCCGAAGGGCCAGCGCACAGTCAGACTCCCACAGAACACTGACCCACGGACAGCCGCCCTGCCAGTGCCCGCTCACCGTTCCTGTTCCGCAGGCTGGGGTCGGCTCCACTCTTCAGCAGCGCCAGCACGCAAGGCCCCCGGGCCCGGTAGGCCGCGCAGTGCAGGGGCGTGTTCCCCAGCTGGTCCGCGCAGTTGACGTCAGGGGGGTTGGGGCTGTTGAGCTGCCGAGGGAGAGATGCAGAAGCAGGTGTCAGAGGCAGCCCTCTCCCAGCAGCACCGGCAGGTGTGAGTGTCGGCGAAGCCGCAGACCACACGCCTGGCTCCCGGCGGCTCCTGGCACCGGGCTCCCAGCGGCTGCGGCTCCTAAACCAGCTACCATGTCACCGCCGGGCTGTCCTCCGGGGGCCATGAAGGCCCAGGCCCCCACTCCGACAGGAAAGCTGTCCGTCTGTCCCAACACGATACAAATATCCCAAAACACTGTCCCCCCTTCGCAGGGTTCCTTCTAGACGTTGGGCAGACCCTTCAGAAACGGCCGTCAAAGTGAGAGCCCGATGCCTGCGTAGGGCCTGCACCCGGCTGCACCTTCAACCGCCTCCCGTTCAGTTCTTGCCTGGAAACCCCGGCTCCCAGCCCAGCAGGTTTCAGGAGGGTGGGGAGCATGTCAGGAATTCAGAGGAAACACAGCATTGCACACGTAGCCTCAGTGAACTACAGACTTGTGTTCTGTTATCATGAACTTGAGTATTTTGGCCCCACGACGCCACTAAGTTATAAAGTTAACATTAAGGAAATGTGTGTCTTCAAGGGCAGAATCTATATATACAAAAGCCTAAGCGACCGAATGACTGGACCACCGAACGACCGGACGCTATGACATGCACTGGCCACCAGGGGGCAGACGCTCAACACAGGAGCTGCCCCCTGGTGGTCAGTGCACTCCCACAGCCAACCTCCCGAAGCCGGCCAGCCAACCTCCCGCGGCCCTTCCCCCTGGCCAGCCTGATCGGCCCCAATCGGGACTAGGTGAGATGGCCCCGATCACTGGCCAGGCCGAGGGACCCCACCCGTACAGGAATTCGTGCACCGGGCCTCCTGTAAAGAAATAATGCCTTTTTATTTTTCTTTACCAGAGCTATGAGTTCTGCTGTTTTTCCTTCTCTTGCTGCTTCTAAAAGTAATTCTTCAAGCTTTCTTTGCTGAGTCCTTTCTACAGCTGCAAAAGGAAAAATATATTCTCAGTCAGGAAAGCAGCAGCAACTTCACCACAGACGGACAGAGAACACAGAGGCGGTGCTGAGGACAGGCACGAGGGCTCTGGGCTGTGGCTCAAACGCAGGCGGACGCACTGCTGTCCTCATCGCCTGGCATGTCAGATCCCGATGTCCCCTTCCTTCAGGGTCACAGGAACCTGTCTTCAACTCCGAGGTCTTTCGTCTGTCACTCACCACAGCACCCATCACCAATGGTGTGAAGCACTGTCTTAGCTGAAACACACTACGTACCTAACCTGGAAAGGCAGACACGTGGGGAGAGGGGTCCACACCTCCAAAACCTTCGATGTGAACAGCAATAAGAAACAGCACTGGTGGGAGATGTACCAACCCTGAGTGTATTCAGATTTATATACACCTACATACTTCCACATAAGAATACAAATCTACTTCTTTTTTTTAAATATATTTTTATTGACTTCAGAGAGGGAGAGAGAGAAACATCAATGATGAGAGAGAATCATTGATCAGCTGCCTCCTGCACGCCCCCTACTGGGGATTGAGCCACAACCTGGGCCTGTGCCCTCACCAGGAATTGAATCGTGACCTCTGGTTCATAGGCTGATGCTCAACCACTGGGCCACACCATCCGGTCTGGAGAAGCAGATTCTTAAACTCGCCACAATGTGGCATCAAGTTCACGGCTGAAAGCTCTGAGGAAACTCTCGTAGAGATAATTCTGTTTCTAATCAGTGACTCCCTGATCACACCCCTAGAGCAGGGGTCCTCAAACTACGGCCCGCGGGCCACATGCAAATACAAATATTGTATTTGTTCCCGTTTTGTTTTTTTACTTGAAAATAAGATCTGTGCAGTGTGCATAGGAATTTGTTCATAGTTTTTTTTTAACTATAGTCCGGCCCTCCACCGGTCTGAGGGACAGTGAACTGGCCCCCTGTTTAGAAAGTCTGAGGACCCCTGGGATAGAGCACAGGCTCGGTGCCCTAGCTGGTCATGTTAGAAGCAACGTCTGCTCCTGCTCGGAACCTTGAATACGATGAGAGAAAACGCTACTCATGTGAGGTTACCGTCTAGCCCAGCCGTGGGCAAACTACGGCCAGTGGGCCGGATCCGGCCCGTTTGAAATGAATAAAACTAAAAAAAAAGAGACCGTACCCTTTTATGTAATGATGTTTACTTTGAATTTATATTAGTTCACACAAACACTCCATCCATGCTTTTGTTCCGGCCCTCCGGTCCAGTTTAAGAACCCATTGTGTCGCCGAAACCGGTTTGGCTCAGTGGATAGAGCGTCGGCCTGCGGACTGAAGGGTCCCAGGTTCGATTCCGGTCGGGGGCATGTACCTGGGTTGCGGGCACGTCCCTAGTGGGAGATGTGCAGGAGGCAGCTGATCGATGTTTCTAACTATCTCTCTCCCTTCTTCTCTGTAAAGACTCAATAAAATATATTAAAAAAAAAGAACCCATTGTGGCCCTCGAGTCAAAAAGTTTGCCCACCCCTGGGCTAGACATTAAACGTCAGGGAAGGTCCGTGACACTTACCTTCGAGCATGTTTCTGATCTCTCTGTCATGAGTGACCTCTTTGGCTCTCTGTCCACTCCCATTAACAACGGTGGGATCGGCGTTGTATTCTAAAAGCAGCATTACCAACTCCTAAAAGAAAAAATATTTTTAGCTATTATTAAACCAAGACTTTGTTGTATAATAGCCCTTTTACAAAGTACTAATTACTACTGAGTTTCTACAATAGAGAAGAGCACTGCGTAGGAATTTTTGTAACAGATTTTTCTACAGTAACTGAATACTAAGTAACTACAATACATTGAATACTAGAATTCAACTAATTGTAGTCATAATTAATGACTGCCTAAACAACTGTCAATCCACCATGAACAAAGACAACTTCTAGCTTCTATAATTAATTTTTAGTAAGTTATCTTTTTTAACCAAGTTGATTTCATGTGATCAAACTATGTTAACAAGACATTATTTGAACTACAGCAGACAGATCCATTTAACATTCTTCTTCCAAAGCCTATTGACAAAAGTAATTTCCCCAACAGATCGAGATTTTTTAAAATCACGTTTGCTGTTTATAAGACAGAACTCAGTGGATAGAGCGTCGGCCTGCGGACTGAAAGGTCCCGGGTTCGATTCCGGTCAAGGGCATGTACCTGGGTTGCGGGCACATCCCCAGTAGGAGATGTGCAGGAGGCAGCTGATCGATGTTTCTCTCTCATCGATGTTTCTAACTCTCTATCTCTCTCCCTTCCTCTCTGTAAAAAATCAATAAAAAATGTATTTTAAAAAAAATAAAAATAAAAAAAAAAATAAAATCACGTTTGCTGTTTATAAGACAGAACATTATTGTCTGAGTGGCAGCGGCTGCTGGGATACACCGCTAGGGAAGCAGGGTTTACAATGAAGCGAAGGATTTCCTAAAGTCAGAAAAAAGCGACGTAACTCCTATTTCCTCCAAGTGGCTACCTGTCCTTGTGGGGATTTCAAATGCTCTGGTATTGCCACATGCAAGGCCAGTACCCCCGGCCGGCTCAGTCACACAACCTCACACGACAGCAGAAACGGAGAGCGTGCAGGCGGCGTGCAGGACGCGGGAGGCTCGATGCGAGTCTTACAGGGGGCGCAGCCCCAGGGGGCGTGGCGGGACACGTGCTCTGTCGTCCACACTGAGGCAGCATGAAACACGTGCTCGATGTCGGTCTCCTGCAAAGCCCTCATGCAGGGCCTACTTTTCACTTTGCTTTGCATCGTGTGTTCGCATTTTCCTGTTTCATTTCTTAGAAACATTAAACTAGAATCCGTGATGGCGTTGTGTGTACATTACTTAGAACCTGGAGTAAAATAACTTAAGTGTCAGAATGTGGTGGGTGTGCACCCGGCTGGGGTGGCTCAGTACTTGAGCATCATCCCATGCACCAGAGGTTGCTGGGGCGATTCCTGGTCAGGGCACAGGCCCAGGTCATGGGTTCAATCCCCAGTGTGGGGCGTGCAGGAGGCAGCCGATCCATGATTCTCTCTCTTCACTGATGTTTCTCTCTCTCTCCCTTTCCCTTCCTCTCTGGAATCAATAAAAAAAATACATATTTTAAAAAATATAAATGTGGTATATCATCCATACAACAAAATATTATTCAGTCATAAAAACAAAGTACCGATTCATGCTACAGCATGGGTGAGCTCCAACAATGTTAGGCTAAGAAGAAGCCAGACACAAGTGGAATCATGGGAATTTTTGTCAAAAGTCTCTAGGAATAGCAAATATCTACAGACAGAAAGCAAGTCAGTGGAAGCCTAACCCGTGGACCAGATGCAGCAAATGAATGCAAACAGCCTGAGGGAACTTTGAGGGGGGACGGAATGTTCCAGGTCAGATGTGAGGATGGTCGCACAGACGTGTAAATGCACCGACAATCCCACAGCAGGCGTGTGTCACGTGTGTCATGCAGTGCACACTACTCCTCTATGAGGCTGGATGTGGGGATGGTCGCACAGACGTGTAAATGCACCGACAATCCCACAGCAGGTGTGTGTCATGCGTGTCATGCAGGGCACACTACTCCTCTATGAGGCTGGATGTGGGGATGGTCGCACAGACGTGTAAATGCGCCGACAATCCCACAGCAGGTGTGTGTCATGCGTGTCATGCAGGGCACACTACTCCTCTATGAGGCTGGATGTGGGGATGGTTGCACAGACGTGTAAATGCACCGACAATCCCACAGCAGGTGTGTGTCATGCGTGTCATGCAGGGCACACTACTCCTCTATGAGGCTGGATGTGGGGATGGTCGCACAGACGTGTAAATGCACCGACAATCCCACAGCAGGCGTGTGTCATGCGTGTCATGCAGGGCACACTACTCCTCTATGAGGCTGGATGCGGGGATGGTCGCACAGATGTGTAAATGCACCAACAATCCCCACAGCAGGCGTGTGTCACGTGTGTCATGCAGGGCACACTACTCCTCTATGAGGCTGGATGTGGGGATGGTCGCACAGACGTGTAAATGCACCGACAATCCCACAGCAGGTGTGTGTCATGCGTGTCATGCAGGGCACACTACTCCTCTATGAGGCTGGATGTGGGGATGGTCGCACAGACGTGTAAATGCACCGACAATCCCACAGCAGGCGTGTCATGCAGTGCACACTACTCCTCTATGAGGCTGGATGTGGGGATGGTCGCACAGACGTGTAAATGCACCGACAATCCCACAGCAGGCGTGTGTCATGCGTGTCACGCAGGGCACACTACTCCTCTGGAGCTGTTTAAAGGAACAGTCGGGCCCCCTCCCTGCAGCACACGGGAGGCTGCAGGCTCCTGGAGTGGAGGCTCATGACCTTCACACTCGACCTCGCTGTCCAACGCCGACTAACAGCGTGGGACCTTCTGACCCAAAGTGCTGGTTTACACGCGTGTGCCTCTGCCCAGTGGCAATTCCTCTGGTTGTAAAAGAGAAAACACCTGTGACCGCTCTTCCAGACACTTCACTTGCGAACACGAACACGGAACACGGAACACGGAACACGGAGGGCCTCACCTTTCGCCCCGTGAAGGCCGCTCGGTGAAGGGGCGTGTCGCCCATGTCGTTCAGGACGTTCACTTCTGCTCCCGCCTGGGGAACATGGAAACATTACACAGCGTCACAGATGAAGAAGCACACAACGTGGAAGTCATTTCTGAATGTTTCAAGATTAAAGTCTCTGAAATGTTGATCGGTTGTCACTAGTAAAAACAAGTTCATTTCATACTAAAAGTAAATAGTAAACTTCCTGCAGGTAAAACCTAGCTGGAAAAATGAAACCTAGGTAGAAAAATGAAAAACTACTTTTCTTTAAAAATCTACGCCCCTCCACTGAACTTCAGAAACAGCCATATTTTAAAAAGGCAAACCATCTCTGAATGAAATACCATATCCATATTTTTGCCAATTTAGTAAGTTTTTAGGAGGGGAAAATATGCCACCATTTAAATGTGCACATTAATTTTAAGATGCAATCCAATTTCAGAAATATAAATATGTGAACAACTGTTAATCACAGAATTGAGAAATTTGAAGTCTTACAGTATATGATGCTCATTAAGAAATTCTATAATTATTTTTTAACTAGAGGCCTGGTGCACGAATTCATGCACAAGTGGGGTCCTGCCGGCCCAGCCAATCGGTGCTGATCAGGCAGCCAGGGGAAGGGGAAGTGGGAGGTTGGCCGACGGCCCTGCCCCTGACAGGGGTGAGGGGGCCAATCGGGGGCAGTGCTAGCTAGGAGGAGGGGCCATGGGCAGTTGGCAGGCTGGCCCCACCCCTGATCGGGGTGGGGGGGCCAGTCAGGGGGCTGGGGGGCCAGCCAGGCGTAGGGGCTGTGAGCAGTTGGCCAGCTGGCCCCACCCCCTGTTCAAACTCCCGGTCGAACTCCTGGTCAAGAGGACAATTTGCATATTAGCGTTTTATTATACAGGATTACATAGAATGTGCTTTGGTTATTTTTCTTAACTGTTATGCTAAAAAACTGAAAATATACAATATCTTCATTAATTCATATGTCCACTTTCGCAATTTCAAAAAGCCAACACTGTAAAAATTAAATGACTAAAAAAAATAGAATTTTAATGACTCAGGCTAACCTACTTCATGTATTTAGGAAAGAACAATTCATGTTTTGTTTTGTTTTTTAAATATATTTTATTGATTTTTTACAGAGATGAAGGGATAGGGATAGAGAGAGTCAGAAACATCGATGAGAGAGAAACATCGATCAGCTGCCTCCTGCACACTCCCTACTGGGGATGTGCCCGCAACCAAGGTACATGCACTTGGCCAGAATCGAACCTGGGACCCTTGAGTCCTCAGGCCGACGCTCTATCCACTGAGCCACACCGGTCAGGGCAACAATTCGTGTCTTGAGTGATGACTGTCGCTCTGCATAAGCCGTCTGGCTCGGTGGCTTATATCCTTTCCGTGCCGGTACCTGCTATGTTCATGAAAAACTCAGCCATCAACATACCTTTAGCAGGGCCTGGACCACTTGTCTATGTCCAAAGTAGCAGGCCAGGTGCAGAGGGGCCCAGCCCAGGTTAGACTTACTTCTTCCTAAAAACGGGGCAAGGAAGGCATTTTTAGGTGTAATTTCAGTAATTCCACAGGAAACTGAGCTTGTCTGGAACAGGCCACTCCGAGGCACTGGCCAGGCCCTCTCTCTGGCCGCAGTGCTGATGGGGGAGGCAGAGGCCCCGAGAGAAAGGGGAGTGAGCGGAACGGACAGATCCCAGGAGCCCGGGTTCTGGCCATTTTCCTCAGTCAGGGCCTCCTTCCTGAGGCGGAGGGGACGGAGGGTCTCAGCACCTGTGGCCCCAAGGCCCCGGTCCTACCCGCCTGTCACCTGGCCCAGGTGTGGGCGAGGCAGCCTGTGTCGTGAGAAGGGCCTCTGGACGCCGGTAACGGGAGCGTGGGCAGGACAGTCCTTCCTGCAGCGTGGGGAGAGCTGTGAGCACCTCGGACAGTGGCTGAGGGCAGTCCTGACTTCTGATACCGTCTCAGGGAATGAGGCTATTGGGTTCCCAGGGCCCAACCAGGTAACAGGAACCTCAATTAGAGGCAGTGACAGGGAGCCCAGCGTGCAGCTGAGACAGGGAGGAACCAAGCGAGTGTTGGGAAAACAGAGACTAAGTCAATTTAGCAGAGAAAGGGGGGCACAGTGCTGAGAGCTCAGACAGCCAAGCTCCCAGAACCCCACACCAGCCCCCAAACCCAGCTCCCCCTGCCCCAGAGGGTCCACCGGGTCCCTCGCAGGAGCTGTCGCTTCAGTGCCCGGCTGGGCTCCTGGAGTCTAGGCTTTGAGCCAACCTCACCCCCTCCGTGCACCCAGCACAGGCCCCAGCACGCCCCGAGGGACTGCCACGCAACCGCCCTGGGACTGTCTGCCATTCACCCCACGGCCCACATTGTAGCCTCTAGAGCAGCCGTGGGCAAACTACGGCCCTCGGGCCGGATCCGGCCCATTTGAAATGAATAAAACTAAAAAAAAAAAAAGACCATACCCTTTTATGTAATGATGTTTACTTTGAATTTATATTACTTCACACAAACACTCCATCCATGCTTTTGTTCCGGCCCTCCGGTCCAGTTTAAGAACCCATTGTGGCCCTCGAGTCAAAAAGTTTGCCCACCCCTGCTCTAGAGCCACAGGCACAGACCACATGCCGCAGCCTGTGCCATGAGCACGTCTTCCCCTCGTTCTCACCTGAAGCCCAGCATCACCACCAATGACACTCCTTTACCCCAGGCCGAGCCTCCCCATTGGCTCACCCCCTGGTCCCGAGTTCACCTCCCACCACAGTATTAAAACTGTCCTCAATGTGAATGAGGAGGAACCAAGATGGCGGCATAGGTAGACACCTGTACTTGCTGCCTCGCACAACGACATCAAAAATACAACTAAAAGACAAAACGAATATCATCCAGAACCACGAGAAGGCTGGCAGAGTGGAAGTTCTACAACTAGAAGAAAAGAGAAAAGCCCATTGAGACGGGTAGGAGGTGCAGAGGTGAGCAAGTGGGGAGGTGCAGAGGTATGGAGGCGCGCACGGAAATGGGCTGGCAACTGGGTACGCTGTTGTCTTTTTCAATCAGGAGGGAGATACAAGCTCCCAATTGCTCTGAACTCCAGTTCCGGGCGAGTCTCTGGGGACCCAGACTCATACAGGAGAAACTGGACTGTCTGGCATCGGGCCGGAACCGGAACACGAGGGCGGCTTTCTCGCAGAGGTGCTTGCAGTGACTGATCATTGTTCCTGCACGGGGGCCGCGGGACACAGAGACCCCGGGACCACTCCAAGGCAGAGCAGACTGGCAGCCATTGCAGTTTGCTCCGCCCTGATGATTCCCTAAGACACTGCCCCGCCCAATTTACAACCCCACCCAAGCTGTGCGCAGAGGCTTTTGCATATGAATGGCCTGTTCTTTTGCAATCTAAAACCTAACAAACTGCAGCTGGGCCAAAGAGCGCCAAAGCCTCCAAAAGAAGGCCTAGATAGCAGCCTGCATTGCTTCACAGCTGGGCCTCAACTGGGCACTTCCAAACCCCAAACAAAGAGAAGGAATCTGCAGATCTCTCTGTAGCTTCTGCTGGGTGGCCTCAGGCAGTGGCTGACTTTGCACCTCCTTGGAGATCCAAGAGCCAGTCTACCCAGTGGTCAGAGTGAGACCATCCAGATTACAACTCTTCACATCCATAAGAGACACACTCAGGGGGCAGACTCAGTGAGCACCAAAGCCCCACTGAAGCAAGTCCTGCTCCATAAGGGTGTCTCCTGCACAGCAGCTCTCCCACTGTAGTCACAGCTGGTCCTCACAGCCAATTAGCCTAGTGGTCAATTCCTCCCACTGACACCAACAGCAATTAACACTTAACTACAACAAGACTGTGCACACAGCCCACAAAGGGGTGCACCAAGAGTGTCAACCTCAGGTAATTAGGCTGAGCCACTGAGCTCTATAGGATACCTAGCACACAAAGCCACTCTATCAACACAGGGAAGCAGCCAAAATGCGGAGACAAAGAAACAGGTCACAAACGAAAGAAATGGAGGAAAGCAAACTACTGGATATCGAGTTCAAAACCACGGTTATACGGTTACTCAAGAATCTTCTAGAAACCTCTGAGAAATTTAGTGAGACCCTCAAGGATATGAAAAAGGACCAATTAGAAATTAAGCATACACTGACTAAAATAAAGAATAATATACGGAGATCCAACAGAAGACTAGAGGATCCCAAGAATCAAGTCAAAGATCTGAAATACGAAGAAGCAAAAAACACCCATCCCGAAAAGAAAAAAGAATTCAAAATATGAAGATAGTGTAAGGAGCCTCTGGGACAACTTCAAGTGTACCAACATCCAAATTATGGGGGTGCCAGAAGAAGAGAGAGAGCAAGATATTGAAAACCTATTTGAAGAAATAATGACAAAAAACTTCCCCTATCTGGTGAAAGAAATAGACTTATAAGTCCAGGAAGCACAGAGAACCCCAAACAAGAGGAATCCAAAGAGGACCACACCAAGACACATCATAATTAAAATGCCAAGAGCAAAAAACAAAGAGAGAATATTAAAAGCAGCAAAAGAAAAACAGTTAATTACCTACAAGGGAGTACCCATACGACTGTCAGCTGATTTCTCAACAGAAACCATGCAGGCCAGAAGGGAGTGGCAAGAAATATTCAAGGTGATAAAGAGCAAGAACCTACAACCAAGATTACTCTACCCAGCAAAGCTATCATTCAGAATTGAAAGTCAGATAAAGAGCTTCACAGATAAGGAAAAGCTAAAGGAGTTCATCACCACCAAACCAGTATTATATGAAATGCAGAAGGGTATTCTTTAAGAAAGAAAAGAAGAAAAAAAAGGTAAAGATAAGAATTATGAACAACAAAGTGACAACAAATACATATCTATCAACAAGTGAATCTAAAAATCAAGTGAATAAAAAATCTGATGAATAGAATAAACTGGTGAATATAATAGAAACAGGGGCATAGAAAGGGAGTGGAATGACCATTCTCAGGGGGAAAGGGGGTGTGGGGGTGAGGAAAGAGACTGGACAAAAATCATACACCTATAGACAAGGACAGTGGGGGGAGGGGGGGTAAGGGCATAGGGGTGGGTGGGAACCGGGTGGAAGGGAGCTATGGGGGGGAAAAAGAGGAACTGTAATAATCTGAACAATAAAGATTTATTTTAAAAAATAAAAAACTGTCCTCAATGTGTATCAACAAATGCTGTCCCCAAGCCCCAGGGCCACTGCACAGCGAGAATGGTCGGGGATCGGCCTGCACCACAACCTCTCGTGTTCCCACAGCCCAGTGCCTCAGGGGCTCCCTCACTGCCCACACACCTCCCGGGGTGCTCTGGGGGCGCCACCTTCTCCGGTGAGTCCTTCATTATTGGCATCTCCAATAGCCACACTCCTAACCGTCCCACCACTGTTCAGATGCTGTTGACTGAAATTCATATTTGCATTTCCAACTCTCTTTTAGACACCTCCATTCTGATGGTATAAAATACCCCACGCTGAGATGGTGCAGAGCCGGACCTGTCGTCACGCACACATACACACACACATGCACACACGCACATACTACCTCGTCCCCTCCACAACTGCTTCCACAATGAATTGCCCCATTATCCACCTCACTTCTCAAGTCAGAAATGAGAATCCTCTTGCCTGCGTTCTGCCTTGCACCATTCCCACTTCTCCTGCTGCCACATCCCCCAGAATAGGTCTCCCAGACCTCATTCCCAAAGAGATTCTGGATGAAGAAATCAAACTTCCCAGAATCCTAAATTATCTTAAACTCACTCCAAACAATCTTTATACTCTTGACTACTTACCATGGATATTCAAAGAGTTTTGTTCAAGAAAAAGAAATATCGAATTTAGAAATATTTACAAAGAACAATACCCCAATTTGAATATGAAAACACTAACGGTGTTACAGACAATAGTCACAAAGACAATGTCATGGGGACAAAAAGGAGACAGTGTCATGGGGGACAGTCAAGGAGTGTCATGGGGACAGAAAGGAGACAGTGTCATGGGGACAGAAAGGAGACAGTGTCATGGGGGACAGAAAGGAGACAGTGTCATGGGGGACAGTCAAGGAGACAGTGTCATGGGGGACAGAAAGGAGACAGTGTCATGGGGACAGAAAGGAGACAGTGTCATGGGGGACAGTCAAACAGCTTCCCATCAGACCTGTGCAGAGAGGACAGCAGTGGGCAGATCTAGGTGCCGACAGTGGGGTGTAAGTTCTTATTCTGCTTCTAAACGTCTTCCTTGGAAACAACTCATGCATGTAAAGTGTGCTACGCCTATCAGCATATTCACTTTTACTTTATTTGCAAGAATCTCTCACCATGAGCAACAGGCGAAATCATGAACACACTCTCGTACCCTGGCACCAGCTACCCAGCAAAGCTGACGAAGGAGGCACTGCCTTTCCAGCCTGAAGAGCTACCCAGACCCTCAACTGCACGGAGCGCTTCCTTCTCTCGCTCTCGACTGGGCCTCCTATGCTGATTGTGTAAACGAATATGAACGCAGAGCCACTTTAAGACGGGTCGGAGCTGCATCCCAGAGGCACTGCCTTGCACATCTCAGCCTTTAGATGATTCTCCTGTCCTCGCCACTGTCTATTGTCGACCTGACTAAGAAAGACACTGCGCAGGGGAGGGCACAAGCATTACCCTACAAACCTGTCTCCCGAGGGCTGTGGTGCAGGCCTGGGGGGCAGAATGGAGGGGGGAGGGGGGTGCAGGCCTAGGGGGGCAGAATGGAGGGGGGAGGGGGGGCAGGCCTGGTTGGGCAGGATGAGGGGGATGGGGGTACAGGCCTGGTTGGGCAGAATGGAGGGGGGAGGGGGGGCAGGCCTGGGGGGGGAGCAGGATGGAGAGGGTAAAAACGGGAAATGGGGGACATCTGTAATACTGTCAACAATAAAAATACAAATTAAAAAATAAAATAAAAGCCATTAAGACACTGACCACCTTGAGGAGAGGGCGGCTCCGGGGACAGACACGTGGGTCATGGGGGTGTTTGCCTGCACGACCCCCTAGGGTGCCAGTTTAGCTCCGAGACCCAGGATCATGGAGCCGTCCGTGTGCGTGTGATAAACCTGGGGCTCTCCCTCATCCCGTGAGCGTGGGCGTTGGGTCCTGGCGTTGGGTCCTGGCGTTCAACACCTCCAGCCGCCGGCTCTAGGTTCCCATCGCGTCGTTTTCTCAGCCCGAGGCTCTCAGGGGGTTTGTCCTGAACACGAGCCCTCACCCTCCGAGGCTCCTTCCTGGGAACTCCAGCCGTATGTGGACCACACACTGGCTTCCTCTTGTCTTTGTGATGAATGTGTATCGACAGGCTTAGCCAGAATGACGTAAATAATGCAGCCCTCCCTGAAAACCCGTCAGTGGGACACGTTATTGATTGATCGGCAGGAACTTCTAAGAGACAAACGAAAGCCAGCTCCAAAGGACGTGCCCCTGAGCAGGTGGGTAACCTGTCTCACTGCTGCCCCGGCTGGTGGCTCGGGGGATGGACGACCTCCAGCACCAAGAGGTGGCCGGTTGATTCCCAGTCAGGATTCCCCATCCGGGCACACACCCAGGTCCTGTGGCTCCAGCCCCGGTGGGGGGCGTGCCTGGGGCAGCCAATCGATGTTTCTCTCTCTCTCCCTCTTGCTCCCTTCCTTTCTCTCTAAAAGCATTTTACAATTCTTAAAAACAAAAAGGAATTACATACATTTACCATTTCTCCATTCTCAGGTCGGAAAACAATAGACAGAATAAAACACAACAAGAACTGCCAGAAAAAGGTGATTCCCACTTAGAAGCGCTGCTCACACCCAGCCCCACCGTCCACTCTGCTGGGCGAAGGTGTAATTGTCTACGGAGCCCATGCCAACTGCCCTCGGGACACAGTCTGACTGACAGGCAGGAGGTGGTGAAATTTCTAACCTTATTAACATCTCTTCTCAGATTTCCACTTCCAAGTTGAGGACCGCCCACTAACTGGCCTGAGGTGGGGGGGGGGGGGGGGCCCTATACCAACAAGGGTCCTCTGGGGAAAAACAAAATCCGGAACCTCGTGCCTTTAAAAAATTGGGGCCACTCCCAAAACCCGTTTTGCGGAGGGCCGGGGGGGTTGGGGACACCTTTTCCCCCCTTAGGGGGCCCTCCTCGGGGGGAAAAACAACTAGGCCCCTTTCCTTCCCTTTTAAGCAAAACCCGGGGGGGGGAGGACGGGGGCGCGGGTTGCCGCTGGAGGCCTGGGAATGGGACGCGGCTAATGAACCGTCCACCTGGACAGAGGGCTGTGGGGGACGAAGATGAGTCCTGTGGCTCCCGTCGTAAGCCCGGGGGCGCGATAAATGGGGGAACCCTGAGAACAGGCACGTGGCACCCGAGATGCTAGGAAAGGACCCCGGAGCCGACCTACCCCAGGACCCACCTGCCAGGTGGCACAGAAGGTCACCCTGTGGCAGGAAGCAGAGGGAGGGCCCCAGCTTGGCTGCCACAGCTGCTCTGCCCACGCGTCACCAAATCCCCACGCGCCTCGGCAGGTGCAGAGACACGGCAGAGGCTCGGGGGGCACAAAGCCAACAAGAGCCAAGGTGCGTCTCCGCGCCGGCGAGGAGCCGCCTGCGTCCTGTGATAGACTGAGGCCTGCGTTCACTCTGTCCCCAAGTTCTGCTGCAGCAACACCTGTTCAAGGAGCCCCAGGGAGACAGGGTCCCGGGGGAGCCAAAGGGTGGTGCAGGCCCCAGGAAATGCTCACCTTTGCATTCAGCCCCTCGGGGGCTGGGGGCCAGGAGGGAAGGAGAGAGGCGCCGGAAGGCCCCCCACATTTAACCCAGGCAAAAGCTTACTGGAGAAGGACGGACCCCAAAGGCCTAACGCTTAAGCCCCCACATTCCCCGGGAGAAAGGGCCTGGAAGGAAATGCCAAAAACCCAATTTCAAAAGAGTGAACCCTAATTTGTTCCCGACCTCGCCCACAGGAACTGTGCCCTTTGCAACCTGCGCCCACGGGGAACCTGACCCTCACCCCCTGCCCACAGGCCGGGCCCTCTGGGCTGCCTCTCACCTCAGGGCCTTGACACCGGCTGTTTCTCCTACACCAGCCGTGGGCAAACTACGGCCCACGGGCTGGATCCGGCCCGTTTGAAATGAATAAAACTAAAAAAAAAAGACCGTACCCTTTTATGTAATGATGTTTACTTTGAATTTATATTAGTTCACACAAACTCTCCATCCATGCTTTTGTTCCGGCCCTCCGGTCCAGTTTAAGAACCCACTGTGGCCCTCGAGTCAAAAAGTTTGCCCACCCCTGTCCTACACTATCTTCACCTGGTTAAGTCCCACACACGCTTTTCTTTTTTAAATATATTTTCATTGATTTCAGAGAGGAAGGGAGAAGGAGAGACAGAAACATCAATGATGACAGAGAATCACTGATCGGCTGCCTCCTGCACGCCCCCCACTGCGGATGGAGCCCGCAACCCGGGCATCAGAGGTCGATGCTCAACCACTGAGCCCCACTGGCCGGGCCTACACACTCTGACTATATCATCTTAGAATCACTTCCTCCAAGACACTAATCCTTCGAATTCCAATTCCATGCCTCTCCCTGAAGACCCACGACGCCCCACACGTCCATATTCTGGCGCACCTGTGCGATGTAGACTAGTCTGACCTGTGACTCCAGGGGACTAGTCCCCGTGACAGGAGGGGGATGCTGACGGCACCTTCTCTGAGGTACCCTGGGCTCTCTGGGCAGACGGCCGTTCCACGACGCTGTCTTCGGGAAGCACACACGGTCACAGCCTGCGCTCGTGGGCCCGGGGTTCAGGGCCCCCCTGCAGTTAGAAGGTCTACGATCCATCACGACTTTAGGGCTGGATCTCAATGTCTCTGGCTTACAGGGAACTCGGAGAGACATTTCCACTCTAAGGGGCTCCTTCCAGGGTGCCACAAGGAAGCGCATCGCAAGCAAGATCAGGAGAGAATGCCACATAAACGACAGCGTACGTGAGAGGGGGCCGAGGAGAAAGCGAAGGAAGTCCGCCCAAAGCCCACCTTTGCAGTTGATGTCGGCGATGGCTTCGTTCTTCTCCACGGTTTCCAGCAGCTTCCTCACCTCCTCGGCGTGGCCATTCCTGGCGTGATGGAGGAGCTGCTGCTCTGCCTCTGTATTCATCGCTACATTAAAACACAGCACAGCAGGGGGAAGTTAATGGGGGGGAGACATGTGTACTACTATTTATAACACTTTAAACAATAAAATAAAATTTAAAAAAATATAAAACAACGCAGCGGCTCTCGCCTAAGACCGTGAGGCGCTTTAGACAGCACCTGCTGACACCCAGGGGAAGGGCCTGGCAGGGGGCTCCGGAGGCTGGAGTGTCGCCCAGGCCGAACCCAGGCAGGGCACGTCCCTGCTCATGGGGCTGATGAACTGAGGATAATCATTCTTATAATTTTGTTCAAGATATTGCTGATTTTTAAAAATCTTTCTGGTTTCCAAATATAAGGAGACATTCGCATTGTTAGCCAGGGCTCTTTCACAGCTGACAGAGGCTGATAAATTAGTGACGTGCATTTCCCAATGTGCTCCCGGGACATCGGCGACCACAGCTCACAACCAGGAGACTCCTGTCCATTGAGAAAGACGGGCATTAAAGAGCCTCCAGCGTTGCAGGAGGGACCCTGTCATCGGGAGCCTCACAGACACCGGCCCCACCTGCGGGAGATCAAACCCCTCAAGGACAAGAAGCACCACATCAAAGACAGGCCGCGCCCCAGCCACCACCGAGTCTGCGTGCCCCCAAATTAACGCCGTGCTGCATGTGTCTTTACCTGTTTGCCAACATTAATAATAAGTGTTATACTTGTTCTTTAGGCTTCTCTCAAAGCTATGGATGTAGCCCAGCTGCTAAAAATTGCTGAAGGTGTGTAAGATAACTTTTGTATTATCGATAATACTCTTTAAACGGTTTCTCTTTTGAAATTTAAAAGAAATGCTATTGCCAACAGAAGGAAAGCTGTATATACACACGTACACGTATAATATATGTGTATATGTGTGTGTGTATATATATATATATATTTTAAAGAAGTTAAAAAGAAATAGTTTATCCTAATAAGTTGGTTATTTCTGAGTGAATAAAAAGAGACAAACTAAGAAGAACACTGTATACTTGGAATTTGAATAGAGAAAAAATTAAATGCATTTATAAACAAATACATATATTTTACAAATTAAATCTTAAAAACATTCTTAAAAATCTATAATGTGCTTTGTTAGCACTACATTCCAAAGCAGCTAGCTGCTCAATGGTGTGGGGATTTTCCAATATTATATTCTGTTAATATGAGGAAAATATTAAAAATTAAAGTAATTATGTAAAAACAGCAAGAAAATAAATTTTGCCCTCAATCATATTAGCTCCTAGCAAACAACCAGTAAGTTCTCTAAAATGGGAATATATGTATATATGTATACACACACGTACACACACGTATATATAAAACTATGACATTTGTGTTAACAAAAAATAATGCATTTTTGTTTTAGAAATTGCACATTAGTAGACAGACTCATATTTAACACTGATTTCAGAGATGAAGGAACTGAGAAGCACAAAGATAAAGTCACTTGCTGAGTATTGTATTCCAGTAAAGCCACAACCAGCACCTACACCTTTTAAACAAGGGGTGAAATAACAGCAATGCTATCTACTTCATAAAACTCAAGTCAGCCTCTAAAATTAAATGCGGGGGGCGGGGTGGATAGAGGGGTCAATGCGGGGAACAGGGGACATATGTAATATTTTCAACAATAAAGATTTTTCAAAAAACAAAATTAACTGCCACTGATTCTAGGAACTGTTCATGTATGAGCGTTGAGGAAACCGACTCTGAATTATAAACTAATCTCATTTTAAGAAGCTTTATTTCCTAACTGAAGTGAGATATTCAAAACACAGCAATGTAAGGACAACCACAGAAAACTGTAAAGTCTATTTTAGGAAACACTCATTCCTTCTTTTAGAAATAAAAAAAATAGCCCTAACCGGTTTTGACTCAGTGAATAGAGCCTCGGCCTGCGGACTCAAGGGTCCCGGGTTCGATTCCAGTCAAGGGCATGTACCTTGGTTGCGGGCACATCCCCAGTAGGAGGTGTGCAGGAGGCAGCTGATCGATGTTTCTCTCTCGTCGATGTTTCTAACTCTCTATCCCTCTCCCTTCCTCTCTGTAAAAAATCAATAAAATATATTTTTTTAAATTAAATAAATTGAGTCATTTAATTTTTAATTCAGTGAAGCTTTTGCTCTCACTTCCTCAAGGAGAGTCGGTGCCCAGACACAGGGCACGGTCTCCCACGGGCTATCCTTTAAGGCTCCACACACAGGGTGCCAACCATTGCAGCCACTGTGGAACGCTTACATCTGACATCCCCCGACCTTCTCCTGTTCAGACTCGGGCCCACCCACATGGACCTGGATGCCACACAGACATAAGGAAGGGACAATCCCACTTGCTGAATATTTACCTTTACCTTTAAGCAGTTGAAAATCTCAATGTTTATCAAAACTGGTGAAAATTCAATAAGTGTCATGGCTTTGCTTTATGCAACTCTTTTAACCTTAAACTGCTATGCATTTTATCTGCTTCAACGACCAAGAGCAAACCCTTAGACACACCCCTCATTTGAATTTCAACCTGATTCTGAAAACTATCAGCTACTGTTTCAAAATAGGCTGGAGCCATCAGAGCTCAGGGTGGAGAAGTCCACCATTAGATAAGTCCAGTTTTAGATACTAAAAATACTAACAAGAAAGCTGAATGTCACCTTTTCATGATAAAATTCCTTAAACTTTAGACAAAATGTATTTAAATGTTTCCCATTTTGATTTCCGATTTAAATCTGTCTTCCAAACTAATGTCGAATACTGACCAGCTGCACACCACAAATCCAGAAGTTTCTCTTTAAAGGAAAACTTTAAAGTAAAGGCATGTGGTTACTTTCCATGTCATATGACAGGAAAATGTACAGTTAAGGAGTGCTTTCACTACACAGCAATTCCCTATTTGTCAGCTGACGAATCCAAGAACTCAGATACAGTCATGACCTAATATAACCTCTTACTAAAAGCCTTAAAACGATCTCTCACACTTGCCCACCTTCTTAGTGGAGGAGGTCAGGTAAGGAAAAATCAAACATTTCTAGGAATCAAGGACAACCTATAATTATATGGCATTATGATCATCAACATATCCTGTACAGAATTTATAACAGTATCTTTTTTTTATTGATTTCAGAGAGGGAAGGAGGGAGAGGAACATCAATGATGAGAGGGAATCATCAATGGAATGCTTCCTGCACACTCCCTACTGGGGATCGAGCCTGCAACCCGTCATGTGTCCTGGCTAGAAATCTAACCGTGATCTCCCAGGTCATAGGTCAACCTTTAGCCACTGAGCCACTCCAGACGGGGCAACAGTATCTTTTTTGACGCCTCATTAATGAATTCTGGTGAGTTGATTATAAGCTGACCTCTTTCTAGAGCAGGAAATTACCAGTCACCCATCAAGTTCTGATTACCATCAGTTTTGGCTTGAAAAAAAACTGACAAGTTTCCTAACCACCTCAGATGTCTCACACACACTTTCTACCTTAATCTCTCTCCTCCATGTGTTGTCAGTTAAGTTGATTTCTACTTTCTACTGACCACTTTTCTCAGTGAATATACATAATATACAAAACTCAGCTTCTATTAATATCTAGCTAGAGGTAAGAAATTGCCACAACAGCCCTGGCCGATGTGGCTCAGTGGATAGAGCGACAGTCTGCGGACTGAAGGGTCCCGGGTTCCATTCCGGTCAAGGGCGCATGCCCAGGTTGCGGGCTCGATCCCTAGTAGGGGGCTTGCAGGAGGCAGCCAATCAATGAGTCCTTCTCATTATTGATGTTTCTATCTCTCTCTCCCTCCCTCCTCTCTGAAATCAATAAAAATATATATATTTTAAAATCGCCACAACAAAATTCCAACCTAAAAATCTGCTACAGATGGCGCTGGCAGGTTCTCAGTGGTTAGAGCATCGGCCCTCGGACCAAAGGTCTCAGGTTCGGTTCCTGGGCAAGGGCACGTCCCTCAGCTGCAGGCTCAATCCCTGGCCCCCGTCAGACAACCAATCAATGTGTCTCTCCCCCTCTCTTCCACTCTCTAAAAAAATAATAATCAGCCCTAACCAGTGTAGTTCAGTGGATAGAGCATCAGCCTGCAGACTGAAGGGTCCCAGGTTCGATTCCGGTCAAGGGCATGTGCCTTGGTTGCGGGCATATCTCCAGTGGGGGGTGTGCAGGAGGCAGCTGATCGATGTTTCTCTCTCATCGACGTTTCTAACTCTCTATTCCTCTCCCTCTCTGTAAAAAATCAATAAAATATATTTTTAAAATAATAATAATAATAATCAATGGAAAAAACATCCTCACTCCTTGGGTAAAGATTTAAAAATCTATAGATGTAGCTCTAAGTAAAATAAAGACACAAGGAGAAAATTTTTAATTTATTTAATAGACACTGCACCATGTTATCGCCCCAAAGAACCTGGCTGTACTTAGTTGTTGGTTCTAAACAAGTTATCATGTCCCTTCGTCTTAGGCGGGAGTGGGGAGCAGTGTGTTTAGAGAAGCAGCATCTGCCCGCTCTGCCTACAGGTGGAGGAACACCTGCCGGACAGCTGCCTCCCATTCGCGCCGCCACCAAGTTCTGGTGAAGAGTCAGCTGAGAGGCCGGCGCCGGCAAGGCCCGTGCTGAGCTGCCCCTGCCTGGGCTCAGGCCAGGCCCCTGCAGCCCGAACCCGGTTCCCATCAGCTCACGGCGCTGCGGGGGCGGGACCGCGGTGATACAGGAATGAAGGCTGACTGTCCCCCCTGCCCCCCGAACTGTGGGTACAGCCCCTCGCTCGGAACTGGGAGGTGAAGAGTGGTTTCGGGACTGTCCTGGGACTGCTCTGCCATCAATCCATGGTCTTTACATTTCAGCGGGGGTCAGAGACTACACCTCCCACGCGGGCTGCGAAAAGGAAATGCACTGCGTCGTGGTCAGGAGGCCGTGCTCGCCCTCACAGCGCCGCAACCCAGGACCACCCCCCCCCCCTCCCCGCGCTGCCCCCAAGGCAGGGACCGCCCGCCGTGCCAGGGCCGTTTCAGAGAAAACCGGTCGGTTTCCACGCGGGTTGAACTCTCCCCCAAGCCCCGGAGCCTGCGCCACGCGTGCACCATCCCAGCAGCTCCCCTCACCGCGCCCACAGCCCAGCTGCGCCGGGAGTCCGCGTGAGCGAGGAGGTCGGCAGCTGAGAGCTGGTCCAGCAAAACCCAGACCCGGCCGCCGCCAGGGCCAGCGCCAGCCTCCGCCTCGGGGCAGCTGCAGCTCCCGGGCTGCTACC